ACAAATTCCAGGAGACACAGCAGCTCTAATACATAGAAACAAACACCTGGAAGCAGCCAAAATGTGGAGGCAAAGAAATATGTCACAAAGGAAAGAACAGAAGAAATCTCTAGAAGAGGAACTAAATGAAATGGAGCCAAGCAAGCTCCTAAATACAAAGTTCAAAACAATAGTTATAAGGATGCTCAAGGAACTTAATGAGAATGTCAAGGATCTTAGTAAGAATTTTGAGGAAACCAGTCAGACCATCAACAACATAAAAAAGAACCAGTCAGAAATGAAGGCTACACTAACTGAAATGAATAATAATTTACAGGGAATTGATAGGACGCTGAGGATCAAATCAGCAATTTGGAACATGAGGAAACAAAAAACACCCAACCAGAAGAGCAAGAAAAGAATCCAGAAATATGAAGATAGTATAAGAAGTCTCTGGGACAACTTCAAGAGGCCCAACATTCATATTATTAAGGTGCCAGGAGGAGAAGAGAGCAAGAAATTTAAAATCAATTTGAGAGAATGATGACAGAAAACTTCCTGTACCTGGTGAAAGAAATCGACTTACAAGTCCAGGAAGCTCGGAAAGTCCCAAACAAGAGGACCCCAAAGAGGCCCATAGCAAGACACATCCTAATTAAAAAGCCAAAGGTTAAAGACAAAGAGAGAATTTTAAAAGCAGGAAGAGAAAAGCAGTTAGTTACCTACAAGGGAGCTCCCATAAGATAGCTGATTTCTCAACAGAAACCTTGCAGGCCAAAAGGGAGTGGCAAGAAATATTCAAAGTGATGAAAAGCAAGAACCTATAACCAAGATTGCTCTACCCAGCAAAGCTATCACTTAGAATTGAAAGTCAGATAAAGAGCTTCACAAACAAGGAAAAGCTAAAGGAGTTTGTCACCTTTAAGTACAGACCAGTACTACATGGAATGTTGAAGAGTCTTCTTTAAGAAGCACCTATGAACAAAAGAATCTGACGAACTAAATAGATCCAGAGACACTGAAGCATGCAACAGACTGTCATATCTCAGAGGGAAGGGGACTGGGAAGATTCACCAAAGAAGTTATATGCATATATGCATAACCACGGACACAGACAATAATGGGGTGAAGGCTTGGGAACAGGGTGGGAGTGAAGTGGAGGGGGTCAACTGGGGGGAAATATAGGACACCTGTAATACTTTCAACAATAAAGATGAACTTAAAAATTTTTTTACAGCTTATAACATAACTTTTATTAGAAAAGTTATACATAACATAGCATCAACTATTTTCAAGAACAATATTAAACCCAATAAGCAACAAAAACCAGACTAACAAAATGTGTAACAAGAAACTAATGACCTTTCTATAATCAAACATTCAATTATCTACAATGTCTTTTTACAAAGGGGGAAAAATCAATGGCTTACAGGCACATTATAGTGAAAATAAAGCTGCAATAGCAATTTTATACAATTACCATTCTCAAGAAAATGAATCATTAAAACAGTAATTACGTGTTCACAAATTTAAAACATTTCACTTAATTTTAAATTATTGGATATACACTGAAGTCTGAGTTTTGAACGTGATTTTTTTTTTCCACAAAAGTGCCAACACTTAAGCTAGAACTCTCAGTGTAATTCGGCCCTAAAAAGTTAAGACATTTTGATAATCATAAGTCACATAATTTCTGGTGCTATCTGGTCTGTTAATTATAAAGCCTTTATTTGGATGTTTTTCTTCACTTAAATTATAGGAAACCGGATATAGGATTTGTTGCAAAGCTACTGAAGTTCCAAACACAGTATGTGCAGCGTTGGAAAGAGAGGTCAGTAATAAAACTTATAATAAATATCAGAGAAGCCATAGTTTTTACAGCATTGTCTGCTACAGGTTAAGTCAACCAGGTGTATGATTTCCCATCAGTCTGCCCTCCTTTTAGCTGGCACAGCAATTTCTAGTTTCATGATCTGAATACTCAAATATACCCAAACATCTTTTTAAAACTTTGATTTATAGCTCCTGGAAAATTATAAATGTTTAAATTCATTCTACTCTAAAAAGTCTATTTCTGCTCATTTTAGAGCCTCACTAAAACAACGGATTTCAGGATAGTTAAGGTTCATTAAAAATATTCATGGAATGATTTATAAAATAGAACACTTTAAACCAAGTCCTATCATTTGTAGCTGAAGGGGATGAGTTACAACACAATTTCCCACACCCCCTTGGTCATCATGGAATTATAGTTTATGTATCTCGAGGACAATCTCTGTTTTGGGCACCATCACTAAGAACAATGGTTACCAAGAAGACTGCCAGTGTTACTGATGGGAAAAGACAATTTCTTTCTAAGACTCACACCCTAGTTCTTAAATGGTCAGACATTTTTCCTGACAAGTTTTCCTTTCCAATGCAGTAATGGAGAACAAAGCTAAAAATCCTGACTTTTGACTGCTACTCAACATTATTGCATGTGCCAATATTGAACACATATGTTCTGAACTGTTAAAATAACCTTCTGGTCCTTGGGGTGCTTGTTTTCTCCATCAGAATACAAACACAATCCATACAAGCAGTTTCCCTTAAAGATGAAACTGATAAATTTAAAATACTGGAAAAAATGAAGAAAAAGGCAGAGACTTTGTACAGACAAAAATCTGAATTTTCTTAAAGGGTTTGTGTGCCCTACACATGGGGGCAATTTGTACACACTAGTGAAATGAACACTAGCTACAATGCTTCTAAGCTGCTCAAATAATGTGGAACCTTGGTCCAGGTGTTGCGATGATGTCACTGTACGGTTCTTCCTGTGTCAGCTCAATAGCTTGCTGCTTTTTAAGAACCAAGAAACTGTAGAACTTTGCTGCAGCTTGCTTTCTGTTCGTGTTTCGACATAACTCAAGCAAACTGATAGATTCAGCTCCAGTTTTAGCAAGAGCTCGCTGAAATAAAAAAAGAAAGAATAAAATGAAAGTAATTTATATAGTAAGATGCCACTCTGGGATACTGGAAAAGGTATACTGTATTTTCACTCTTTTGGGGGCTGGCTGGAAGTAGACTTCTTGGAATAGTAACAGTCTCACATTAATCAAGAAGACAAAAAGAAAGTATATCTAAAATCATAAATCCAAGGATTATTATTAAAATGACTCATTTCTTTGGACACCTAATGTGATACAACAGTCAAATCTAGCACTTGTATTTCTTAAATTTCAACTAATTCCAGCTATCCTTTGAATCTATTTTAGGAAACCTTGAGCAACTTCCCTGGTATGTCATCCATGCTTAAGATATCTCGCTTGTACCTGATACTTTAAGGCCCAAGGGTAAGTAACATCTGACATTACAATGATTCAACAAATTTAATGATTCAGAGAAATTAAGTAAGATGACACACAAAGGAATACCATAAATCACCACTACAATTCTGCTTTTTGAGATAAACCATAGGAAAGTATTCCCCTGAATAACTTCCAGGCTAACCCCTTGGCCTAACAGTTTATGTATTAAAATAGTTTAAAATACATAGTTCTAGAAAAAGTTTCACAAAGGTAGGTTTTCTGGTTATAGCACTTTCTGAGGGAGTAATGCCACAAGTCCTTGCTGAAGATCCCAAGACTGCACCGGCATACCTGAAGACCATGCAGCATCTGCTGAGTCCTTTTGTTCCATCTTCTTTCTTCTTGATCTTGATCACCACCAGAAGCATCTTCATCCTGAAGGAAGATGACCCCACACATTAAAAAAATAAACTCATAAAACTCTGCGATAAAACTCTGCTGCAAAAGGAAATATTTCTCTATCTCCTGAAAGCTCTAAATGGAACTATTTTGACTAACAGGAAATTATACTTGATGCTGCTGAAAAATCACTTAGATTTAGTATCAAGTTTGTCTTTCTTAAATTTACAAAGGAAAGTCCTCTGTACCTACAGGCAAACATCTGGCTGAACAGATGATTCTGTACTGGTCTATAAAGATGTGGTCTATACAGCATGGTCCATGGACTACTGCTGGGTGGTTATTTGGCCCCTGTTAACATAAGGAACTTATGCTGAGATATTAATCATCTATGCCACCAAACATACTGATGATCTCAACTGAATATGTACATATTATTTTTTGGAGCATGATATTCTAGATGAGCTATTATCTTCTGGCAGATTTCTAATCTCACTGTGGACCAGTACCAAAAAGAGGCCACAACCTAGCAAAAATGAGTAAGTTATTGTTCTATATGGTGTTTTAAAAGAAATGGGCTATGACCCATAATATATATTTTACTTGAGCCACCTAGCTCCCAGGCGATGTTAGAACTACCCACCATGTTCCAAAGAGCCAGAAGTGAACAGCTTTACAACATAATAGGAAGCACAGTGATTTTTAAATACCAATTCAATGCTAAGATAATGGCACACTGCACTACATAGGCTAGGGTAGTTCTGGGGCTCAATTTTGACTTTAAAACAATGTAGTGCTCATATGAAATCCTAAGCAATAAGTGCTTATGAAGTCTATGGCTGGCATAATGATAAATTACATCCCACCCCAGTCTAACGAAAAAAATTCATGCATGAAAAATGTTTGGTTATCTGAGTTCCAGACCACAGATAACAGTACTAATAAGAAATGACAATCGACTACTGACCACAAGGTAATGAAATCAGCTACAATTTAGATGTCAAGCAAAAAGAGTCAGTGCAGGGCAGTCCCCTGTCCCTGAAAGCCACCTGGGAGCAATGAGGTACAGCACAGCATAGTCTGTATTCTCAATGACAAGCCAGACCCATGTGCATCGGTGAAACCCTGCTTGTGTCTGAACGTGCTTCATCCCTCGGGAGGGAGCAGCGCAGCAGAGCCGGAAGGGGCCCTGCGTGGCGGGGCGGGCTGTGCAGAGCCTTACCTCCTCCTCCTCCTCCTCCTCCTTCTCCTTCTCTTTCTCCTTCTCCTTCTCTGGCAGAAGGTCCAGCTCAGGGATTAACTGACAGATGTTTGGAGGCTCTTCTGGGGGCAGCTCTACAGGCGGGATTTCCATCTGCTCTACCTGCTGAGGCTTAAAGCAATAAAAATAAGGCAATTAAAGGTGCATATTTTAAGGGTAGCTTCTTTTAAATATGCAAATACATAGTTGCTAAAGTTTTCAAAATGAAAGAAACACTGGGCCATGGCGCTGTGCTTCCTTGCAATCAGAAACTGGTTATACAGGGCAGGGCAAAAGGAGGCTTTCGGGTGTTCTTGTGGAAAATAATACAAGAAAACTTTTCACACACAACTGTAAATCTACTTTTGCCCCACCCTGTATCTTTTTATTTTTTTTACTTGTAAAGCACAACATTAAAGTATCGTAGTTTGCAAAAGAAATGAATCCATTATCTTATTATTCTAGAACAAAAATGTTTCTATACTTACTTTTCAGGAGTCAAAAACTTAAAAGTCTATGTGAGAAATGTGCAAGTAAGAAAAACTATACACAGTAAACATCCTCCAAACTCTCTACAGTAGCATTTAAAAAGAAACACAGAACAACTCTAGGGCAGTGCAAAAAACCCTTACCATCAATTAGCCTGGTACTATCACCATTACTGCATAAAACTGCTTTAAGGCTATCACAACTAAGCTTGGGCTGTAAATAGTCTTGAAGCTTATGGAAGCAAATAAAGACATTATTTTTGGGGTCCATCTCTTGAATTTCCTTCCTCTTAGGCTTACTATTAACAGTTGAGAGCATTAAAAAACTGTAACAAACCAAAGGAATGGCAAGGAACAATTACCAGGAGAGGTACTAGAATAACACATTTATTTACCTGTCCCCATTCCGATTCCTGAGCTCAGAGAGAAAAATGCTCCTTTCGACAACTTCTTACCACCAGAGGGCACAGAGAACTAGTTCTTAAAACTGGCAGAGTATCTGGCCAATACCTCTTGATGGAGGCTGAACCAAGAGCCTCCTTTACTCAGATTCACTTATTCTATGTAGACTTAAAGGTTGAGAAGTCCTAAGTCAGACCTTACTTCCTTTCTACCTATTTTAGTTTCCATATCTTTAGTAAACTTAATGGTAGCTAGTCTGATGAAGTAACCAGATGTTACTTCACTTTCTTTCAGCAATTTGAAAAGGATACTCTGATTACTTAATACGATAGCCTAAAAGTGCCTAGTATTGGAGATATGCAAGAATATTTGGTAAAGATTAAACCAGAACCTGGAACAGAATAGTGCACCCAGGAATAAACCCACACATATCCAGTCAATTAATTTACAACAAAAAAGCCAAGAATATTTAACAGGCAAAGGACAGTCTCTTCTATATATGGTGCCAAAAAACCTGGATCCCTAATCTCTTACACCAAACACAAAATAGAATCATTAAAGACTTGTATGGTTTCTGGTATTGCATTCAAACTCCTAGAAGAAATTATAGGCCATAAGCTCTTTGATATTGATCTTGGCAATGATTTTTTGGATCTGACATCAAAAGCAGAAATAAAAAGGCAACCTACAGAATGAAGAAAATATTTGCAACTCATATATTTAAAAAATATTAACCCTTTATCAGATAAAAAACTCTCACAACTCAAGTAAAAAAAAATCTGATTAATGGAAACAACCTAAATGTCTGTCAGTGAATAAAGACATGACACACACACACACAATGGAGTACTTGCTCAGCCATGAGAAAGAAGAAAATCATGTCATTTGCAACATCATGGATGAACCTTGAGGGCATTATGCTAAGTGAAATAAGTCAGACACGGAAAGACAAATATGGTATGATACTGCTTATATGTGGAATCTAGACATGCCAAACTCATGTAAGTGGAGAGAATGGTGGTTACTAGTGTAACCTCTAGTTATAAGATGAAATTCTGTGGATTTAATACACAGTACAATGATCATAATTAATATGTAATTATGTACTAAAGTAGTTGAGAGAGTAGATATTAAGAGTTCTCATCACAAGAAAAATTTTAACTATGTGAGGTAATGAATGTTAACTTATTGTAATCATTTCATAATATTTACATATATCAAAACATTATGCTTTCACCTTAAACTAACACAGTTACGTTAATTATTTCTTAATAAAACTGGAAAATGTTCAATCTTGTTCATAAAGAAAAGAAAACAAGATAAAGTGGTTAGACACCTGGAACTGGAAGTGACAACCTGTCCCCACTTGGCTTGGAATGTGCAAGAATCTACTAGCTTATTTTCAAGTACAAAAATTCTATTTATCAGAAAGTTTCATTTTACTGACAAAAGATTTAATACATGTAGAGTTTAACAGGTTCAATATACTGCTTTTCTTATTTTATCTAGAATTGTCAAATTCACCCTGAACTAATGTTTAAGAAAGAAAAATAAAACCAGAACCAAGTTCAGAGTCAAGGATGCTCACTTTAGGCCACTCTGAAGCAAGACTATCCAAGAGTCAGAAAGACTGACAACTCCTAGAGCATCTTCTTTCACTTAAGGCACATTGTGCTCATACCACTGGCTACCATTCTTCCTCTCTGGGCCCATTACTTTGCATTTCCTGCCTGAACCAAGATACTTTAAAAGGGCTCCTTAACACTTGCTACTACTAGGGATTTAAAATGATTGTCTGAATGCCCCCAAACATCGTGATGGAAGAGATGTGCTTACTTACAGGGATCACAGGCTCTGGGTCAATTTGTCCTGCTTTTCGCTTAACTCCCTGAGGTGGTGGTGGGGGCATGGCTGACTCATCCAAGTTTGTTCTGCTGGTCTCCATCACTGACTCCTGGAGGCGGCTTGGCTCTTCCAAAATGGGCTCATCTGCAATTGGCCGTATGAAGAGACTTAGGTCATACAGTCTTAAACAGTATTTCAGAACCATTTACTTTTAATACTAATACACTAAGATATAGGTACTTTCTCTAATGAAGATGGCCAAGTAAAATTTTACCTCCACAAAGGTTAGTCAATTTATAACAATACACTTAAAGGTGGGAAAGGACCTTAAAAGTCTCATCTCTAGTCCAATACAGGACAATCCTTCAGCAGACTATCATGCAGCCAGAAAACTTCATATCTAACAAAGCAATCACACAATATAATAAGGCATGCATTTTGTTGTCCAAAAGTGGAGTATACTCCCTTGTTCCTGATTTCTTTTATTTCGATAATATATAGGTAAATTTTAAGCCAAATGTTCATGTAAACTTCATCAGGGAACTATACCAATAGAACAGACCGATAACATCACGCTGCTGGTGTTGCTGTTGCTGGTCCTCTCTGGGAACCTCTGGATTTTCAAATTCTTTGAGGAATTCATCCAAATTATCAGCCTCTCCTCCTTTCCTCCTTTTTCTAAGATCTTCTGGAACTAGAGGTGTAAGACAGCGTGTAAAGAGCTATAAAAAAAATTAAGAAAAAAAATTATTTTAAATACAAGATTTCAAATTATAGCTTCAGCTAAATTTTTAAAAAGATGGAAGTTAAAAATTGAAATCCACTGTCTTGTAACTCAGAGATAGGACTTAGGTTTTAATTTATTTGCCTGAAGTTTATTTTCATATTGATACTTAAAATTCAATCCAACTGGGATCATACCAAATAGCTTTATGTAGAGCTTTTTCACTTATTATTATATATGGTAATCTAATTAACTACCATTTTAACATTTTAAATGCCTGCATAATATTCCATACACACATAGGTCTCACGCTTGAACCACTTTTAAATATTTTAAGTTTCGTTTAAAAATTTTAAATGTAAACAACAATGTAATTGAACATCTTCAGAGAAATTGCTTTTCCATATTGTGAATTACTTCCTTAGGAAAAACTCCTATAATAAGACCACTAAGTCAAAAAATATAAACATAAATCTTCCAAATAAATACTGTATATGACCATGCTTTCAACAAATAGCAGTTTTACCATTGTCTTGCCGCTATGAAACACTTCAAATTTAGAACACAGTGAAATAAAGTAAAATCAATTGGTTCAACTTTAGGAAGAAGTTAACAGCCTAACAGCATTGCATCATTAGAAGCCTCAGAATCTTTCTTTGGAATACTCTGGAATCTAGTGAGCTGACAGGGCCTATTCTCATAAAGCCAGTGGGAACAGTATAACCATGATGTTTTATCCAGAAAGCAACAACTAAAGATAACAGATTTGAAGCACAGTGCACAAGTAAAGCAACAGAACTAATAGTTTATCAAAGGAGGTTGAGAGAGATTAAAAATGTCAGCAGTTTCTTTGTACAGGGAATATTCATTCTACATCTTTTAGAAATGCAAGTGTCACTCATTTATCATGATCTTTCAGATCAAGTTATGTTCAGCATACTGAGATTTAAGAAAGAAAGAAAGGCACCATATAGTTGAAAAATACTTGACCAAAAATTATTCAAAGAAAGGTTTTAAAGGTATTTTTGAAAATGGTCAAAATGTACATGAAATGAAAAATTCTGCAAACTGGATTACCTTCAGTAGTCTGTTATTCCACAAAGGCTGGGCAGGTAAAGAGAACAGTTTTTCCACTCCTCCTGTCTCTTTCCACATCATCAATTTCTTGGTGGGTGGTGCCAGATCCAAAGTTGTAACAATGTCAGAATAATCACTAAGTTGGGCTCTAATGGTCTTGCTATCCAACTCTTTGACGCTGTCAACAATTAGCTTCCTCTTCCTCTTGGCTTTTGTTTCTTTGACTGAAATGATAAAAGATGGTCATTTTCCTGAGAGGGCAGCATAAACCACACAGAACCAGACTTGGTCTCACTGTATTGTTTTTCTACAAACCCAATCCTGAAGTAAAACCTCATGAGGGCAGAATCTCTCATTTTTGTTTTGTTTTTTAAAGATTTTTATATTGGTTTTGAGAGAGAGAGAGAGAAGGAGGGAGAGGGGAAGATAGAAAAACATCAATGTGAGAGGGAAATGTTGATCAGCTGCTTCCTACACGCCCCCACCAGGGATCAAGCCAGCAACCAGGGCATGTGCCCAGACTGGGAAGTGAACCAGCAATCTTTCCGGTGTACCGGTGCACTAGATGATGCCCAACCAACTAGCAACACCAGTCAGGGCCAGAATCTCTTTTAAATGAGGCTTCCCAAGCAACATGCAGAATAAAGGCTGGCAATCAACAGGTGTTCAATAAAAATTTTCTGAATAAATGAATATGTATTTAGTACAAAATGAGTAAAATAACTCAAGAACCAATTCATATTTACCTATGTAACTTTATACAGTAAACATGGAATATATCACACTTGGGCTCAAGTTCTGGGTTGCCTTATTAGTTGAGTGAAAGGTAAGAAAAGTTAACTTCATCTTGCTTACCTCCCTCTTCATTTTCTTATTTGCAATATGGCCAACCACATATAGCAGTTGTAAAATATTTAGACCGTTTGGCATAGATTGAGTCCTCCATAAATGGTTGCAATTACTATGATTTTATTGGCAAAGTTACAATTCATATATGGCAGTTGTACAAGCAGCTTGATGACGTGAAACAAGCCCAAACCGTCAGATGGACCTGGAACTCCACCACAGACACATATATTTATTTCTAAACCTTAGTAAAACTTTGCACAGTAGGCAGTGTTATCTCAGTTTCTGAAGATAACAGAAAAGCTCATAGGATTAAATAAATTCCTTAAGATTTCATCCTGTCACACATGTTATACCCCATAGGTTTTCTTTTGTTTTTTAATCCTCACCTGAGGGCATGTTTTTATTGATTTGAGAGAGGCAGAGGGAGAGAAACATAGACAGATTGCCTCCTGTACACACCCTGACCAGAAATTGAACCCGTGACCCTTTAGTGCACAGGATCACACTTGAACCAACTGAGCCACACAGGCCAGGGCTCCCACAGCTTTTTATATATAAATTATTTGAGTGGTTCAACATTTAAAAAGATTTTTTAGAGTGACAGCCTTTGTCTAAACTGTCCTCCAGCTACTGAGAGTTCCCTTCCTTGAAAGTAAAAGTTCTTAAAATAGCTGAAAAATCCTATTTGAAACACTGCAGCTTATCCCCTTTACCTCATTTATAGTCCTCTGTAATATGTCACTAATACAGCACATATTTTACTTACTCATGGTCTCCTAATTAGTGTTGCATGAGGATAAAGATTTCACTGTTACATTTTTAGTTCCTAAACAGTCAGGTACTTAGTAAACACTCTTTAAAAACCAGAAGCCCAAGTCACACATAATTTTTGGTGACCAGATTTTAAGTAGAAAACCCAAAAGGTTAACCTTGTTCTTTTCAAAAGTAATAACTATATCTTGAAATATACTGTAACTGATTTCAAGTATTCCATCCCATTCTACCCATAAACCATCTAGAAATTTTAAAGTTTCACATCCAAATTATATATCTCAAATTGCCTCTTTCATTCAGAAGCAGCAACCCCAATTAAATGTTTTGTTATGTTTCTTAATAAGCACCATGGCAACAATACTGCTTTTAGAATCTTTGATAGTTCCAGTTTAAAAAGAAAAAGTATTTTTAGGTTTTCCTAGATTGCAGCTAGAGTATATAGAACTTTAGAAGTCCTGTATTTTACTATAAAACACCTTCCAATGTTTTCTAATTGTTACACACATGACCTGTTGGCACTTTGGGAATCCAGAAAGACAAAGATACATAATAGCAGACAACTTGTTCTATGTTTTTATATTTCACAACAACACATGCAAATATTCTGATACATGACTGCGACAAAGTAGAAAGATTATCTAAAAATGAGAGCAGTTTAGTGGACAACAGCCAGAACGAGGAAGTTCTGTAAGTCGAAAGGTATGCTCACCAGTGATATCAATCGGTTCCAAAGCAAAGGCTTCTTCTTCATTGGGAACAAGTGTTGTCTGATCAGTCATAGTTGGCAGTGGTTCGACAGGGTCCACTGAATCGGGACTATCAGGGCCACCCACTATAAAAACAGAAAACTGGTCACAAAAGGCTTGGTATTTACAGATACCCCACAAATGGCGAACGAGTTCCTGAAACACTGGAAAAAACACCAACCTACCACTGGTACCAAGAAAAGAGTTTTCTAGTTCTGAGGAAGTCCCTCCAAAGCTGAACCCAACTGGACAAAAAAGGGGGCGGGGCATGTGGTTAACCACCTGAGGCTCAGAGCCAGTGATCGATCATGAGCACTGCCGGCCCCACCTTTCGGCGTGGCTCGTCCACGCCCACCCTCTGGGAACCACAGGCCAGGCCCAGGCCACTCAGCGCCAGCCGCTTACTTGACACGTTATCGTCCTCGTCCATGTCATCGTGCGCCGGCTGCTCCGGCAGCATCACCCCCGTCTCCGACAGCGCAGGGGGGTCATCGAAGATGCCGCCATCATTATTGCTAATGAGTTTGTCATCTGAAATGGGGAATGCAATTTAGCTACATTTTATGAAAGAAATGCTAAAAGAACAATACCCAATCACTGGGAAAATAAAACTATGTTAAAATGGATTAAATTTAAAAATTTAAATCTGTATTCAATTTGCATCTGTTTCTCTTCTCTACAAGGTCGTGTGCAAAAGAATAAAACACTTAGTATATAAACACATTTCTCATTTCTAACTTACGCTCCCTAGTTATCTCTATTTAAAACATATCTACTTATCGTAGATCTCAAACACAAGCAGAGCAGTTTTAAGGACTAGTAAAATTTAAAACTGAGAATGTTTACTGAGCCAAGGGTCACAGTTCACACATACATGCCGAGAGAGTTACTCGAGAAACAGGATTAACAGCAGCTCTAACACATGAATGAAGAAACTATGTCAGAATAGCCACCTGTGACCTACCTAATATGCCACCATCATTTCCTTCTCCGAAATTGTCATCCTTATACTGGTCTTCATATTCTAGATGGTTAATTTTCTCATTCAGATTGCTGGTGCTCTGTTCGGGCTCTAACAGGAGGTTAGAAGCACTAGTGCTGACCAACATGTCGTCATCCTCAAAAGCACTGCCTTCTCTCATTATCTCACGGTCATCCATTCCAAAGTCACCTGAATAAATTTTAGTTAGTCATTAGCTGAAAAAAGTTAGAAACATCACTGTTACAAAAAAAAGGTTAATGATTTATAATTATGATGTCATATTTGCTTTCTGAAGTCTTCTTTATCTTTGAATGTTAAAACATCTAGTTTAAACTTCAAATCTTTAGCATCTATATATTTCATAAACTGATGCTCGGGCATGACTAGCAAATTCAAAGGTAAGATCCAAATTTAGGTTATCCTAAATATAAGAAAATCTAAATATGTATCCCTGTTAGGTTACATTAACATTCACAGACTTAAACTTTGTTATAATAGGTTTTCATCAAGAAAAGAATTTGGCTTGCTACCAGACTGAACACTATTCCAAAAGAACGGGTGCACAATGCAACTGTTCCAACACAGATAGTTTAAAAGTGCACATTACGTCAACGTTGAGACTTTTCACACAAATCAATATATGCTTTATCACTGTGTATGGTAAGTAGGAGCAGGCAAAGAAAGAACTCTAAGTCTGGTGCATAAATGGAAATGATGCTTAATAAACTGGTAGGAAGGGAAGTTCTTTTAAAATATCTCACATGTAAAAATGTGTGAGATGAAATTTTGTTATTCTGTCATTGTGAATGTAACATATGTCTGGTTTTCTTTTTCAAATTGCTAGCAGTGCCAAGCTTAATTATAACATAGCTAGTAGCTAGTGATTTGTTTCTCTATTACCAAAATCATTTTCTTGTAGGATACTGATGTTCCCAACTTCTTCTCTCATGGTTATCTCTTCCACTCTACTCTGGTTCAGGCTGAACTGCTGGGCTACATCGATGTCACTATAAAAAAAATTTCAAATACATTTTAGTCAAGTCTCATTGTAATTATAAAGTAATAAACATAGTCCAAGAACCTGAATGATCTGAATGTTAATTTAATTTGTATTTAAATTTTAAAGCCATCAATGGCCAGCAAGCAAAATATAATATATAGAAATCACTACATAAGGCAATATGGTATACACAGGAAAAACATAAGGGGGAGATAGAGCTAGTGTAGATTCCTGAGAGGCTATGACACATATCAACCAAGTGCAGTATGCAGACTGCATACTCAAACAAGCTAGAAGGGATAAAAAGGGCTGTGTGTGTCAACTGGGACATTTGAATGCTAACTGGATATATACTAAGGAATTACTTCAATTTTTCTAACAATATGATGCTATTATGGATATGTTTTAAAAATTCCTTACTTCCAAAGCGACACATACTGAGGTATTTACAGAATTCAAGATATGTGTTATTTGCTTTAAAATAATTCAGTGGGGGCTGGAAGGTGAGTCGGGGAAGTACATATGAAATAAAATTGCCAATCATTGATAATTAACTCACACACACACAAAAATCAAAATGATGCAAATTTAATTAGGAGTCATAGATAATTTTAAAAAGCAGAGAAATTTGTCAAAAGATAAATGGGATTTGGTATAGAGGGTTTCTTGGTGGTCAACAGTGCTCATCAATCACTTAGAAACTTACAGTCACATTTCATGTCATGGTAGTGATAGCTGGATTTTGAGGACTTGAGGAGAGAAACAATATACCACAGTATTCTGCTATAATGGCCATCTCTGTACAACTTTCTCCTGTTAAATGTGTGTTTTGACAATGACTCTTTCATGCTCTTCAAAAAAAGCTACCTCATATATTTATTAAAATAAAAATACAAAAATTGTGGCTGAGTATAGTTTGGCAAAAAAAAAGAGAAAATTATGAGTAGATGATTTTAATATATTCTCCTAAAGAAAAATCATAAAGCAATAGTTCAAGTTTACTGATATCCTGATGTAAAGCACACACCTGGACAACTGTTCTGTTTATATAAGCTTTGACCTAAGCACATGAGAATTCTCGTATCTTAGCTGTGTTAAAACTGATTACCTTTTACACTATTTTCTCCTCATAGAGGCACTTCTAGATTATAGTTAGAAATACATATACTTCCATTTAGGCTCTACTATCCTTAATGAAAGAGTATGTATTTCAGCTAAATATTAATTCAATGTCGAGACTGTACATTGTACAAGCCAGTATGTTTTCTTGTAGACCAAGTCAACAATTAAAAAAATAAAAACAAGACATACTCTAAGTCAGGCAGTGGCTGATCAAAGTCATGAAATTCTTCAGGTAAGGTAATAGCATTGTAGGCAGCTTCTCGGTTTTCCTCAGGCAGGTCAACAACACCTGGAAAAGAAATGAGAAGCTTCAAGGACTGGCTACACCAGATTATTTTGGGATACAAGAAAGGTAAAGTCGGTGTGATTTCGTAAGGTTCTATTCTAGAAGGGCGATAACATGTAAAGTACACTGAAGCACAAGTACTTTTGTTTCTCTATAATCACAAACCCTACTACTTCCTTTACAAAAAAAAGTCAAAGCACTAATTATGCACAAAGCTAGTAAGTCTTTATAAGAGCATATGAACAAATAGTTAAAGATAAGCATGGAATTTATAAGGAACATGGAATGACTGCAAACCAGTACCCCAAATGTTAAGAGGAGTTGATTTTTTAAGGAAAGTGAGACTATAAGAGATTAATTTCCTTTATATTTTTCAAGCTGTCTGTAATAAATGCACATTACTTTAAAGACAAAACAAAAAAGTGTGTTATTTAAACACAATGCACTTAGTAACTGTGTCAGAAATCATTCAAGTATCACAGCCTCTGCTTAAATATTTTGCTTTTAAAATATCATCTCAGATCTAAAAAATTTCACTATTCATACAGTAAAATAAATTCAAGTACTAGAATATAACCTTACTAGAAAATACTGTATAAAGCATCTCTCTTATACATTCAGATTACTTTTATTAGAATAAAATTTCATCAATGCTTTAAAAATTATTTGAGAAAAATCAAAACCTCAAATTTTCTTTTCTGAGCTGTATTTTTAAAAATCATGTAATAACTGGTTTCCAACAGTTTAATCTCTCACGACTGAGTTCTACGTAAGTTGCTACAAGGGGGTTAAACGAAAAAGGCAGCTCCAAAGGAAGAAAAAAGAAGGGGTGATTGTCACAATTACATAGGTAGAACAAAAGTAAAGTGGGCTTCCTCCTCGAACCCCTGCCCCTCGAAGCCTTGCTGTATTTTGAAGGGTCCTTTGTACTGAAATTAAAATAGGACATGCTGATATAGAATTTTTTTTTTAAGTAGTGTTTCACACCAAGCATAAGAAAGTCCAAAATTTTTTAAAAAGTCAACAATACCTGGCCGAAAAGCCATCTTTATCTTAATGAATGCTTCATTACAGTCTGCAAGGAGGTATTTGGCTTTTCTGTGATAGATTCGAACTACTCCCAGTAAGAGATGTCCTGATGTTCGAAGTGCCATCTTTACCTGTGAACAAAACATTGATATTAATCTAATTTATAAAGTTAATTTTCTGGTTTTATAGGTAATCATACCCCAAAGCTTGTATTTTGTTCAATTTATAGGCAGTTTTTACTTTATTTCTTCCTATTTTTAAAATCATTTATTTGAAGTTATCTCCATCACCTGTATTTTCTCACTCCCTTTACCTGTCAATTCCCCAAGTACCCCCAAAGGATAGACTAGCAGTAATTCATGAAGTTAACACAGACAGACATGAAGGTAGCCATGAAGCAGGTACTAAAGCATTTAGTGGATTGTTGTCATTAGCACACTAAGGAGCATGTGGCACTTTTAAAGGCCAATCCAGAGCCACTGCTCCTTGATGGCTAACTGAACTAACTGATTCTGTTTGGGAAACAAATGTCCCCATGGAAGGGTGATTGTTTCATTCTTCTCTGCTAATGCCTACTCTTTTTTAAAAAATCCTCACCCAAGGATATTTTTTCCACAGCTTTTCAGAGAGAAAGAGAGAGAGTGGAAGAAGGGAGAAAGAGAAACGAGACAGAGAGAGAGAAACATCGATGTGAGAGAGACACACTGACTGACTGCCTCTCGCAGGAGCCCTGACCAGGGATCAAGCATGGGATCCTTTAAGTCCCCAGGCCAACGCTCTAACCACTGAGCCAAACTGGCTAGGCACTAATGCTTACCCCGGAGTGAGCATGTTAACAGCTCAGCCAAAGAAGTAAGTATAAAGTATGTCAAGGAGCTCCTAAGAAAGGTTCCCCATGAAAGAAACATGCCCCCTCCTCCCTCTCCTGCACTGCAAGTGGGTGGGGTCTGGAGCTGCTTACAGTCACCCTGTACCAAAGAGGCCCGAAAGCGTGAGGACAAGAAGCCAACACACTCAAAATGGTGAGTCCTTGGGTGACATCACTGACCTGCTGAATCAACCCTGTGTCTTTCTATTTCTAAACTTCTAATCAAGTAAGACTGTTCATTTCCTTACTGTTTAAGCCGCTTTCATGGAGATTTTAGTACCCGACTGGAAAGCTGCCTAGTCATAAAGGAAAATGGCGCCCATCTTTTTTCACGGGGAAATACACTCCTTGGCCTGTTTTTCCAAGGTAGATCTTGATAAACGCTTATGTGGGATGAGATGCAGTAGTTGGAAAAAGAATGAGAGAAGTAAACACCCCACGTACACAGAAGGATTCAAAGTTCCTCTGGCTATGGATACCAAGAAAAAATTTTGAGGGAATAAGACAACATGAACTCATACTTCCTCAGGTCATTTTCCAAATCATATCATAAAACTCAGCAAATTCTAAGGTAGCAAAGAACATTATTAAACATTTTCTTAAATTATAACTAAGAAATTACATTACTTACAAAACATGTTACTTTTAAGTTATATGTGCCCTCTCTACAGTACCTAGAATTCCATTTATAATGACTCTCAGGGTCTATATTTAAGGCCACTTGACGTGAGTTACAGCAAAAATTATGAAGTATACTGCTAAAGTTTACTGCTATAAATTCTAAAGTTATAATAAATATGATAAAAATCCAGGACTTATTGCTATGAATGGAAAATGAAAATCTTTTATAATATGGTCTTAGGAAACTTAATATTGACTGTACCTTCACCTAAGAAAGGAAGAGAGAGAAAAACCAAAACACTTTTGCTTGCCATTATCTTGTCCAGAATTAACCACCTTCACAAGCAGTGTTTGGGTAAAGGCTTTCTTTCTGGATTAATTTGGTTCAAAGTTTAGCTCCTAGCTCATGCTAAGAGCACAGGTATAATGAAGAACACAGTTTCTATATCCAGGGAGAGTTCTGCAGAGGTTGCCAGTGCCTGTTCCAACCACACAAAAGGGAAAAAAGAGAAGGCACGCAATACCAACTGAGCCATGTCTGGCACTTGCTCTAAACAACTAAACCAGCATTCCCAACTGCATACCAAGAGCAAACATTAGAAATTTTCAGATCATCACTTTACCCTGTGGAAATATCTTTCTATTCTATCACAATAAAGTAAAATCAATCAAATAAAAACCCACTTAGAAATGGTTCTTAAATTAAGTTATCTCTTCCAATATACTCTGCAATTTTTTATATTATTCCTGAACCTAAGGATGCCTTGCTTTGCGGCTGTTGGTGCATACTATTTGTCTTGTCCCTAACAGGGTGCAAAGTACTCTGCACATACTATGAAAAAACTTGTTGTCCTTTTAAGGACATGCAAATCACCCTCAATATTTGCTTATGGATGTTAAAGATTACCCACATATATCATTTTAAAGAAAAGAGCTAAATTTCTCCTTTTCCATAAATTTATCTCAATAAGCATACCTATAAAAAAGTGAAAATCATGTTTCCATACAATTCGACTGGCAGTGCAATCTGGTACAATCTCCTCACAGAGGAAACGTTAATGCCTATCAGTAATCTAAAAATGTGAATTTATCACCTGGCCCTTCAATTACATTCCTAAACATTAAGGTTAAGGAAAGACTTATAGGTGTAAAGATTTAGCAAGCAATGTTTACTAAATGGTTTTTTAAAAAGAGAAAAATAAAGACAACCTGCAATCCTACCACCTCAAGAAGCCTTCACCAGTACTCTGGTTGGCCTTCTAGGCCTTCACGTAGGCACGTACTCATCATTTTCCTTCTTTTTGTGTGTGTACGTAAAAACTCCATCATCCTGTTTTGTAAAGAGACTGTTTAAAAAAGGCTCTTTTGATAACATTATCATAATTTTTAATGGCTGCACTGCATAAGACCAGAGGAACTAAAATAAAAAAATTTAGGAAAAAACATGGATTATTAGAAAAAAAAATACTGATAACATAAATCATACGTAATCAACACAAGTCCATAATTCTCTACCCAAAATCCTAGGGGCCAAATGTGGTTTGGAATTCAGAACTTCTGAATATTATAAAGGTAAGGCAGTACATCTGCTATATACTAAAACATCCCCAGGAGTGTACAGAGCAGCCTCCCACAATCATACACATTAATATTTCTATAGTGAATTTATGAATATGCAAATTACCTTGCTTCAATTTTGGTCAAGTCTGTTTCTGTTTTTCTGTATTTAAGTTCTGTGGATAGAGACTATGACACTGCAATGCAACCATTAAAAAATGACAGAACTATGACCAGAGCTTTTCCTGAATGCAGTCTTGTTACAAAACATATTAATTAATGAAGTATTTGTGTACATGCATAAAAAGACAAAAATTATGTGTAAAACACATGCACAAATTAAAGTCTAGAAGACATCAAAATACTAAAGGTTTCTATAGGTGGTAAGGCTATTAGGTTACTTCTTTTCCTCTGTAAAGTTTTCATTTTAATAAAGTTTTGAAATTAGTATTGTCTTAGAAATAACATGACAGAAATGTCTTTAAAACCAATAAATTCTAGTAGCTATAACTCTAAAACCAGCAAAAATTCCACATGCAGACACTTTATAATTTACTCTAATTCCAAATACAAACTCTCACTTTCCCCATCTAAAACATACACTTTCCCATGTAACTTTTCTGAACAAGTCTCTGCAACATCCATGCTTTAATTCTCCAAGAACACCTCACTCTTTCAGCAATAAAGAACTAGTCTTATTCATTTAACACATTATGCCAATATTGTCCAAACTACCTATGCTAAGGAGTAGCTCCCAATGCTGATCCAGACAGCTGTGATTTTGAACGTTTTTACAACAGGACAATTAGTGCATGTATGTATAAGGTCCAGGAGAGGACTTTTAGAACACAGATGTTATAGATATAAAATATTTAAGGACTTCCCTTATTTTGAGATTCCTTCGTACATTTTTGAAGTCAACATGTCTGTTCTTCAATGAAATGCTAATGATGAATTGCATCTGTGTGTTTTAAAGATCCTTTCTTGGCAACACAAAAGCCCCATACTACTCTAAGTTATTCTATTTCTAAGAAATCCAAGGGTGGAAATCACTGCTTCAGAACAGTTTCAGAGGATGTTAATAAAAGCTTCTCCAGGAACAGAGCAGTCAACAAGGCAGGTAAGGGCAGGACATACATGACGCTTCCCTTCTAGCGGGAGATAGAGAGGAATTAAATATTTTGGAGAAGAGCACAGAAAGCACCCAAGTCCTGAGATGGGGAAAAAGTCTTCAAGAAACAGCAAGTAGTCAGTCCTGTGAAGTTTAGGTGGAGCAAGTGGTATGGATACTATCTGCTAGATAGATAAGACAGATCTGCCCCCTATAACCTTTTCTAATTAATACGTCTTTATTTTGAATATTTTGTAAATTCCCAAATGAGGAGCGCTCACACACATATTTTAGCATAAAAATATCTAGAAAGCCAAATATAAAATATTTGGGTACTGCCTGAACTCATGGTTATCTACAGGCAAATGAAAATATCTGCATGAGGAGAGAATATCAAACTGGAACTCTGGATAATCTATGGATTCTCTTTGCCTCCAATATACGTAGATGCCTACTTAAAAGTTGATTTATAGAAGTCTATTTTACACATCAACAATCAATCAACAAAATGAATGAAAAGAACAGTATCAAACATACCTTAGGTGAGATGATACTCTCCACACTGCTCTCTAAATTACACTCAAACACATGGGCTTTGGTGAGCTTCTTATCCCAATGGGCCGCTAGCCAAATTTTGGCCAGAGGCCCTCTTTTACTGAGGACAAAATGTGCGTAGAACATTGTTCTGGTTGACTATCGAACAGGAGGAAAAAACCTGAAAAGGAAAAAAGTTAATATAAATACATGTAAGAATTGAAATATTTATCACAACATATAAGCAGTCTGAAAAGTTTCCTATTTCATACTAAAAGTATGAAAACTACAAAAGGATTGAATTTAGTATGCATTAAAAATAGCACAACCTGTTGCTTTACTTTTAAGAGGACAGAAAAAGACCCCAAAATATTAAAAGCTGAAGGGAAAGGGGCAAGAGTTAAATTATACCCACGCCCTGCTGCCACCTTAAAAGTGCTACTTCCTTTTAAAGTAAAACTGTCACCAGAGAACTATCATTTTTGAAGTTCCATCAAGTGTTAATTCCATTCCTATCCTGATTCTTGACCATGGAGAAAGTCTGCTTCTGACCAAAAGCTAGAGAATGTATTCTTCATGGCAAGAAAAGAATGCCCAAGAAGAAAAACATTCAGGCACAAATATTCATCAATGTGTAAACTTCCATTTTTGGAACCCCATTAAAAACTAAGATTTTCTCAGCTTTATACAATAATCAGTATCTCATGATGAGCACTCTGCTAAGCATTTCATATTCCACCAAGCAAAGACAAATAGGTGGGTTGGGCCTATGGTGAGTAGTTTAGAATAGCTGAAGCTTAAAAAAATAAAGTATTGTATCTAGTTATTTCAACTCAAGAACTTGAAAAGCACTTGTCTACTTATAATTTAAAAACTAAATTCAAGACAATGATACAGTGTAACATTTATCTTATGCTAATAGTCTTAGCATAAATACAAGTATGTTATTCACATTCTCTTTCTTTCCGCAAGCTAATGTATTAATACAGAAGGAAAAAAGGCAGCCTGAACATTCCAGCTTAGAGTATATTAACTGTGTAAATCGCTTTTGCCCTTATATTATTTTTCCCTTTTTCATACATTTTAAAAAGTCTATTTGCCAAATGAATTCCTATCTTTTTCTAAAATGCCCACAAATAGAATATGTGATGCTTTTACAGAAATAAACTCAAGCACACCCATAACACAGGAAAAGTACTTCAAAACCAGGCCACTGACACTGACACAGCGTATGCAACAGTTCTTTGCCACATGTGTAGATCTGTGAAACCATCACCCACGCAAGTAAGATATAGAGCTAATTCTTCATCACAAAGTTACTTCCCCCCGCTTCCTTGCTTGGTACTATTCCTATGCCCTGTCAACCACCATTCTCTTTTTCATCTCTAATTTTGTCATTTGGAGAACGTTGCAGAAATTGAATTGTATAGTATGTGACTTTTTGGACTCAGCATAATGCTCTTGAGATCCATCTAAATTGTTGCATGTATCAACAGTATGCTCCTTCTTATTGCTGACTAGCATTCCATGGGATGCATATACTACAATTTACTTAGCAATTCATCTCTTGAAGGACATTTGGTTGTTTCCAGTTTTTGGCTACTGCAAATAAAACTGCTATAAGTATGTGTGTATATAGACTCTTTGTGAGCATACATTTTCATTTCTCTAGGACAAATGTCCTGAAGTGTGATTTCTGGATAGCATGGCTGAGTGTATGTTTAAGTTTTTGAAGAAACTTTAATATAACCCCTATCAAAATCCTACTGTGATTTTTTTTATTGGTATTGAAAAGACTTTTTCTAAAGTTTATATGGAAAGGAAAAGGGACTAAAATAGCTAAAACTGTTTTGAAAAAAAAAAGTCTACCCAATTTCAAGACTTATTATATAGCTACAGTAGGCTGTAGCTATATAGTATGGCAGAAAGACACACAGATCAATGGAATAGAACAGATAGCCCAGAAATAGATCCACAAAAATAAGCCCAACTGACTTTTCATAAAGATGCAGAAGCAATTCAAAGAAGGAAGAATAGTCTTTTCAACAAATGGTGCTTGAGTGACTGGATATCATCCACAGGCAAAAAAAAAATGAACCTTGACTCAAACCTCACACATTATATAAAAATTAATTTAAAATAAATCACAGACTTAAATGCAAAACTATAAAGTTTTTAGGAAAAAAAATATGGAAACCCTTTAGTACCTAAAACTTGGTTAAGAATTTTTAGACATGACACCAAAAACATGTCCCATAAGAAAAAACACACCAATAAACTGGCTTTTATCAAATATAAATTTTCCTCTACAAAGGAGCCCACCGAGGATGCAAAAACAAGATACAGTGGGGAAAAAAGTATTTGCAAATTCTGTATCTGACAGGGACCTGGATCTAGAATATATAAAAACCTCTCAAAACCAGAGTTTAAAAAATCCAATTAGAAAATGAGCAACAGAAATGAGCAATTTCACAGAAAAGGATATACTGATAGCAAATAAGAAGAAGAGATGCTCAACATCACCAGTAATTAAGACTTCACCGCACACCTATTACAAGAGCTAAAATAAAAATTAATGTTAACAACAGTGCTGGTGAGGATACCCAGAAGCAGCACCTCTCAGTCACCGCTAGTGGAATGTAAACTTTCTTTTGAATTAGCTTTTTTTAAAAAAAGATCCAGAGTAAGTTAATTCTAATTTTTGTTTTAAAATGAGAACTTTGCTTACTGTCCTTTCAATTAAAAACTGTGCCCATTCTTTCCAATGATGTACGGAAAATATACATTAGTTAAACATATCAGAGGCAAGAGATTGCATGCCTGTCAAAAATGTTTGGGAGGGTGGAGGTGCAGGAGTAATTCAGTCAGGTTTGCCTCATCTCCGTTTTCTATTGTAGCAAAGGGTATTCAAAATCTCATTCTCTGAACAGATGCTCCTAGGGGGTCATTAATTCACACTTGGAAAATTTTCTCAAAAGAAAAAAATAAAACAGGTTTCACCAACTGCCTAATGCTGTGAACTCTATCTCAAATACAGAGTTAAGGAAAGAACTAATGAATATTAAGCCAGGAAGAATTCAGATCAAACACTCTAAGGCAGAAGCATTAAATAATGTCTCAAGTGTATGCTGTATCCCACTTAGAAATATTTTATAGATCAGAATATACTGCCATAGTCAAAGACAGCCTCCTGTGTTGCAAATCAGTGCTTCTACTTGAAGCCTTCAAGTTAGCACAAAAATTAAGCTGCCTCTACAGCATTAAAAATAAAACCTACAGGATTTTGTAGCAATCCAATATGGCAGTGTTCTTAGAAATATAGTCACTGTCAGATACAAGTCCCAAGTGCTACTCCACAAGACAGCTGTGTTCCAAATAAAAACCCCTTCTTAATATTTAGCTTCTAGAATACTGCCTGCCACATGACAACTACTAAATATGTGCTTAATGAATAAGGAAATAAGATATACCAAGTGATCTAATAGTTGAAATATGTAAATAATTCTGGAGATTTTAGAAATTAAAACTACTGGTACTTCTCAACAGGTGTCAGTAAGTCATGGCCAGCACTTCAGCTACTAAGAGAGTACCATGCCTAAAATATCCCAGCTATGCAGAGGCAGAGATTCCTAAATAGATGTTTTCTTGACATGGGACTGGGGGGGTGGGGGGGTAACTACAGCAGAGTGCTGCTGAAATTATTTGGGGAAATAATTAGCAAGAGGAAATCATCCTAATAACTAAAGGAAGCCTGAGGTACAGTGGTGAATCAACTATTGGCTTATATCTAAATAAGGAGAAAGTGTAATCACTGTTGCCTTTTAAACCATTTCTCTCCCTTAATAATACCAAACTTTAGCCAGCCTTAAAACAAAAAAGTTGATTAATCTCTGCAGGTTCTGAAGAGTCTAAATTTTGCTAACCCTTTACAGAAGACCTTAGCAGAAGGCCAGCATCCCAGAGCATAGTTTAGAAATTTTGATGTCTCAATTTTTTCTAAAGCAGCAAACAACTTTTTTCAATTGCTCCTAAAAAAATAAATTTAAGTCTGATGTGAAATGGCAGAAAGACTGATATTTTAGAACACATTCAGGAATGTAAAAACCCAGCATTTTCTTTAAGATCTTTTCAAAAAGCCAGAGTCAAGTTACAGCTCATGTATCTACAGTGATGTTCGTGGACAGTGGTTGTATATGGCCTCTTTGAAAGGCAATTTAAGCAACATCTTATGAAAATTTCAAACACTCATACTTCCTAATCAGAAACTGTACTGCCAGAAATAATGCCAAAGATATACTTAGAGATGTATAACATTAATACTAAAAATTTGTTTAAATCTTACTAAGCTCTAAGTATTTTACGTATCCATCCTCTTCATGACAGCCCTATAAAGTAAATTTATACTGGTCCATTTTACAGGCCAGAAAACAAAGAAAAAGACGGTAAGTAATGTGTCAAAAGTCACTAATGTTTAATGCAAACGGAACTTGAACTTCAGAGCCCACACCTCTAATTGTAACACTATGTTGCCTAGCCAGCATGACTTTTAATAGCAAAAGATTAGAAATACAGTAACCCACCTGGGCAGTAATAACAGACTTTTAACAAGTTAATACAGCCATATAACAGAATTCCAAGCAGCCTTGAACAAGGATAATATATGTATTTGAAAAGAGGGCTTGCACTAGCCAGTTTCCCTCAGTGGTTAGAGCTGTCGGCCCTCGGACTGAAGGGTGCCGGGTTCAATTCCAGCCAAGGGTACATACCTCTGAAAAGTAATGGAAAAAATATCCTCAGGTGAGGATTAAAAAAAAAGGTAGAAGGAAAAAAAAAGAGGGCTCTCTACATAAATTACCTGCACATGCATAAGCACGACATATCTGTGTTGTACAAATGAAAGTGATGACAATGGTCACCTCTGGAAAGTGGATCTGCTTGGAAAGTAAGGCCTACGCTTTTGTACTATTTGATTTTTTTTTTTTTTAAACCTTGGGACATACACATACATCACCTATTCAAAGTAAAATTATATTGGGAGTCACGACCACTCCATTAACTAGCAAGTTAAGCGGCTTAATCTGTGTAGTTCACTTTCCTATAAAAACCTGAAAGGTTTAAATTCAGTGATTTACTACCCTTGGAAAATGCCAAAACCTGAGATGATAATGGAACTCTCTCTCTGGGGTGGGGGTGGGGGGCTAGGGGAGTGTTTCAGGGACAGAAGGTATTTCCAACCCTTCACACTAGAGATCCCCCCTTTTTGGTACTAACATTCTTTGAATAAGAGTTTTACAATCAGTCCTCAGTTCAAATTCTGCTCTTTCCTTAGTTGTTTTGTAATGGTTAGAAGTCACTTAACATCCGAGTTTCCGCTTTCTCATTTATAAAATGTGGTAATATTTACCAGACACGGTTATGAGAATTACCTAGAACAGCATACCTAAGACAGCGCTGCTGTGGATGAAAACAATTTCAAAAAACTCACACAATATATACTAATCAGCATGATCATGCCTAACAATTTTGACATTACATTTAAACAAAAAACACAGAATATTTACTTCTCAAGAATTAGAAGTTTCTCTTTTGTACCAAACTACAAAGACAAAACTGCTAAGAATTTTATGTTCCAATAAATAGGAATTGGGAAATTCTCAACTTTAAGAATACATTTAATTAAAACGTAATTCTAGAGTGTACTAATGTGTTGTCTTTATAAACATAAAAAAGGTAAATAAAGGTCATACTCTACCAATGTAATTCTGACTTGAGTACAAAAAAGCTCTGTTATGCACTTGCTGTCATCTCAGCTACCTACAAACTGTTAAGTAACTTAATCACTGGATATTAATCAGCCTCATCAATGTCTTGTTTCAAAAACAATTAGTTGCCTTCAACATTAAACAAAGAAACTTACTGACTCTGTAACGTAGCAAAGCTTCTCCAGCCTTGTCACCAAACTTCTGCAGACTCACACAGCTCACTGGCATTTACATTCAATTTCAGAAAACAGGGACAACTTTTCTGGAATTTAGTGATTATTCTAAACCGTGTAACGGGAGCCAAGATTAACTTTCGCTCGTAGAGAAGCCGAGAAACACAACCCTTTACCAGAAACCATAAAAAACACAGGCGCGTTTCTGAACGCTCAAGACAGCCTGACAAATCACAAGGTGGCCAGACAGACCCTCCAGCGTTTCCTCCTTTCAAATTTGAAGAAGGCCGCTCAGTCGGGCAGCACAGCTCGAAAGCGTCGCCCCACACTCGCACGGGTCATCCGCAGCCTTTCTCAGCGAGGAAAAAGGCACCAAGCATTTGTCACACACACACCTCCCCAATGCGTCTGCACAGCCCAGAGTCTTCATCGTTAGAAAAGTCGGGGGGCGGGGGGGACGACACACCAATTTTGCTCATTTCCTAAGAATCAGAAGCAGCTTCCCTAGATCGCGCTTTCTATTGGCCTGTCCGATATTAATTCCCAAACGTAAAATTTCTTCCTTTAAAAAAAAAAAAAGGGGAGGGGAAGCAGCAGCAGCCCCTGGCCAGGGGCCCGCCGCCGCCCTGCGGCCCCGCGGCGCCCGCGAGTCTC